TTAAAAAGTTATTTAGTATCCGAGTACGGTTTGAATTTGAAAAAAATTAAAAAAACTTATGAGGCCTCGGCTGTAAACAAAGCGTTTCTGGTGGTCTGTGGCTTTCAGTCACAGATGCACAGATACACTCTTATAATTTAAACAAATAGATAAATGTTAACCATATAAGGCTCTGGATGAAGATGCTGTTATCAACCAGTTTTCCACTTTGACTTTCAGACACTGACCAGTTTCTGCCTAATACTGAGGCTCTAATAAGGGACCCGCCCCCTCATTCGTATGCAGTGTGATAACCACCATCGGAATAGGAACCGCCCTACAGAGCGTAATGGAAAAACACTGGTTACATTCAGACGGCCCCACAGTGCAGAACGTCCTCATCGGCCTCGTCTCCGTCTGATATCCCCGTAATGCTCATATTTACTTACTTTAATCTGTTCTTTACTACTTCAAATTATTAATAAAGTGTAACACCTGTTATTAGTTAGTTATTATTAAATCATAATATTAGTAAATAACAACACATTTATTAAAATCAGCAATTAAGGTGCTTAAGCCAGTTTGAGGTTTTTGCCCCAGATGCAGCCCGCCCCCTTCCTGTGTGAATCTGTGTGGTTTTTCTGCTCTTCACAGTACCGAGAAACGTGTCAATCTTTTTTTTTTCATACTAATGAACCAGCAGAACCCGGTGCTCCAACACGTGGCTCAACAGCCTGTTTGGTGGCAGCTGGAGGGACGACTTTCTGTGTTAAGACGTGCAGAAATTCAGAGCTTCTGTAAAGAAAAGGATTCAAATTAATAAAACCTGAGGATTAAGCTTATCAAAGGTGGGTCTGAGCTCTGATCACTGGGTCTATCCAGGTGCCCCTGCTGTTTGTGGCTGGTACTGCAGCCTGAAAACTGACGTCATTTATTCCTGCTGAGAAAATAAATACTGAATCATTCATTTTTATGTCATTTTAAGAGAAAGTTACCGTTTGACTTAATTTGAAAATCATTGAAACACTTTTGACAATAGCTAAACAATCAATGTGAAAATAAAATATAAACTTGGAAAAAATAACAAATTCCTGAAAAAAGCGACTTCAAAGGTCTGAAATGTGACATCAATCGGATGTGAACTCTTTAAAGTGGCTCATTTAACCAGTAAAACGATTAAATACAGAAGTCCCTGAACACAACACCAACTCCCTGGAAGCAGAGCCTGTTTCTTTCTTTAGAGGGGTCAACTGAGATTCTGAGAGTTTTCGTAAAAAAATTCACCCCGAACTGCTGGCCGCTGTTAAAATTCTGTAAGAGATATCCGAACAATTCTCAAACCGTGACAACAATGATGGAACGGCGGGCCGAGCCAATGTTCTCACTCTTCATCTGCCCCAACCGGTTCAAAGTCTCAAAATAGTTCAATATTTAGGGGGGAAAGCCTCTGGACCCATTGGCGGGAAAACCGTGAGGTAGAGGTCAAAAGCGGGCACATCGGCCCAAACCCACACGATGTGTGGGTTGTTTATGGTGTTGCCTTGTATCTATAAGGGCTCCTGAAAGAAAGAAACAAAGCATGGCCATTGGAAGAGACGGAGCGGGGGGACCTGGCTTCACTCTGGGGCTTGGTGACCAAAGAATGTGGGGATGAGCAGGACCCAACTCACACTGGTTAAAAGCTGAAAAAAAGACCTACGCAACAATGTATGATATGTCTGTGTTGAGCAAAAGGCGGCGATGCAGCAGGTTAGACAAAGTCT